TTCTAATAAACCATTAGTAGATAATAAATATTAGGTGGATTGACTGTTTGCATCTCTGGTTGTAAAGATGGATGGATGAGAGAGAAGGAGGCCTTCTCCTCCAGCTTGGAGTGTGCTTTGATCCTGCGCCATGCATCAAATGCTGCAAATGTCACTCGCCTCAAAATGTCACTCAGACTCATCCTCACAGCTCTGCTTCTCCTCCCATCCATCATCAGCTCCATTTCCCTCCAACTTGAATATATTAATGCGTATCTTTCTGTATTTATTTCCCAGCATCCCACTCGACCCTTTCTGACGCTCATCAACGTTTACATTTCATTATTTTTTTTTTGTCTCGCTTTTTTTTTTCCTCTCCTTTTGTTCCTCTTCCTTCCCTCATGCCTGAATCAAGCCGCCGGAGATGCAGGAGGAGGAAGCAGCCAAGGAGGAAGAGCAGGAAGAGGAGGGAGGGAGAGAAACCACGGCGAATGAGTGGCTGAGAGAATGAGCGAGTCATGTTTCTTTGTTCTGAAGGGAGGCGGGAATGGGTGAGAAACCGAGCAGAGGACGTGTTAGCGCCCAGATCTGCTCGATTAATGTGTTTATGTGTTCGTACGTCTGCAGAGACGCAGGAGCCTCGTGACTCCAGATCAGATTACTGAAATAACAAACCAGAACAATTAGCTAATGGCTCATTCTGTTTCAGCTCCTTGTTAACTGGAACTCATTTCCCTTCCATGTAGGGGAGACCGGGAATGGTTGTAACATGGGGAGAGTTGTAACACCACCAGTTCCACCAATCAGGGATAAGATAGGAGTCACATGATCATTTCAGAATTTACCCGCTTCCTCCCCAATCCCATATTGTGATTGTCAAGGCTGGAAACAGGCACATGCAGATACTAAGGAGAAAAAACGGATTTTGAGGTAAGAAAGTAAATTTTTTGATCATGACTATATTTTGTTTAGTACTTATACTGTTGCAGATAAAACCATATGACTTACATTAGATGAAAGTGTAATTTCTCAGGCAAAATGTGATGCATTTTCCCGTGCTAATTTCAAACCGCTATGCTACTACAGCTAGCTAAACATGGCTGACAGGGTTGGGGTGGGTTGTAACACATCTTTAAAAAGTGTTACAACCATCCCCTTACATACAACTAAGAATATTTTTATTTTAATAATTTTACAGAATGCCTAGGCAGTGGATACGAAAGACTGATAGAGGTGTGCCTGCAGATGTTTTAAAAAAGGCATCTGATGAGGTCACAAAGAAGAGCAAGTCAGTCAGATCTGCCATGTAACACTGAGCAGATACTGCAAATCACTGCAGAAGCTGAGAGAACAGGGGTCCAGTGATCTTCCCAGTGTAAGTTATTGGAGCAGCAACAAAGTGCAGGAGGAAGTGTTAGCCGTCTATTTGACTCAGGCAGCAGACCTCAGGTCTGTGATATTCTTGCAGAGGTTTGAATTGGTGTCATTTGTAGTAAACAAATGTGGGTATTTCTTATAAAAGTTTGAAAACTCTAGCTCAAAAATTCTGAATTAAAGGTGCTGGAGCAAAAAGTGTTACAACCAGACCTGGTCTCCCCTATCAGAGTATCGTTTCACATAGGACCTCGTTTAACTACTTCTAGCCAAATACACAAAGCAAATCAGTCCATAAATAAATTATTGGGTAAAAAGTTGGAAAAACGCTAAAAACCAGGAGCAAAAAGTCAGAAAGCCAAGAAAGCAGCCAAAATCTGTCGGAAATCAGAAAGGATTCCAGCCGTCCAACCGATTTACTGTTGTAAAACGATTGTTCATGAGTCGTGTGTTTTTACTCCTGATGGTCCGGTTGACCCGGTTCTACTGGAACCAGAACATCTGCTCCACCTCCATCTGTTGTGGCTCTGAGTCAAACCAACCTGTTCCCCTCCTGGCCTGTGGGGGCGCTGCACCAAGAACCACTGAAGGAAACGACACAAAAACCTCTGAAGACACTGAGAGCAACTTCCTTCTTCACCAGATGGAAACAAGATGGAGGCGTCAGATTCCGATGTTTCCACCCTGAAATAATCCGATCTGTTCCACCTCCAGATGAATTGTGTTCGACAGTTTGTGACGTCACGTCGCATTTTATCCGACTTTTCCGTCATTGACGCAGGGCTGGACGGTAGATCAATAAAAGTATATATTGCTATAGACACTGATCAATATCAATAGATATCAGTAGATAGTCTGATAGAATATTCAATATATAGAATATCCTCTGATATTTTAAACAAAAAACTAAGTATTGATGGACTATTATTGATTAGTTTTTTTTTTATTAAAACTCTGAAATACTGCTAGCCCTCCTGGATGTTTGCTAACCTCAGATTAGACTGATTGATCGATCGATCGATCGATCGACTGGTTCTCTCTGGTGACATGACGCGTTCCTGACGTTTCTCTGCAGCAACACGTATGAAATCTTCACATTCATGTCAAACTAGTTTGAGTTGGTAGCTTCACGCCTTCATCATCGTCATCGTCAGCTCAGCCGTTGCAGCTCAGACCTAACCGAGTGATTCTGTCCCGTCGCCGTGGTAACCACCTTACTGTAACAGAACCTGTTTTTGTTTTTGTTTTGCAGCTTTTCCAGATCCACGGGTCCCGCATGTAGGAGCGCCCCCCCACCACAAGCCTCTCCCTAAGCCCCGCCCCCTCCGAGGGCCAGAACCCGGATCTCATGTCATCAAGACCCAGAACAGTCCTGCTCAGCTGTAGCATCGAATCGTCATCCGGTCATTTAAAACAGAAACAAAAGAGCTTAGTAAGTCACAACCAAAGATCCACAGCCGACCGGAGGTCAGAGGTCGGCTCTGACCCGCGGTTCTGACCCGCTGTGCAGCTGCTGACAGGCAGCGTCTGGACCCTGACAGTCTGTCAGTTCTCTGTCCTCGCTCCCCCCAGCGATGGAGACAGCACTTCCTGTTTCTATGACAGATAGAAAAGTCAACAAACCCGTTTTAGCTGTAATAAAAAAACAATCTGAGAAGATGGAGGAGATGAGACGAGTCCAATCAGGCTGCGTTTCCATTAGCAATAAAAGTACGCAAATTGAAATTATGGAAATATATTTGTGTAATGGAAACAGATAAAAAAAACATGTTTTGGATAGAAACTTTTAGTGTAGGATTAGGTTGTTTTTTATAAGTGTAACAGAAAAACTTTTAATATTATGAGTCACATGATCAACAATCAGATGATACTACTGCCGGAAACGACAAAGAGGACGACAGGAAGTGGTTGGAGGATGATGGAGCTGCAGGTCTTAGTTACATTTCTTATTTAATGGAAACACAATAATTGATTCTTTTTTTACACTAGTGGAGTATTAACTGTGTTTCCATTAACCATAAACTTGCACAAATTGAAATTATTAAAATAAATTTGCTTTATTGACCCTCAACAATTTTGAAAAAAAAAAGCATATTTTAATTAAAAGTTTTTGCAGTATGATGAGGTTTTTAAACTATCAAAATTAATGTATTTCATAAAACTGTATTGGAAATGCTTTGTTTGCATGATCAACAACAGGATGTTACTACTGACAGAAATCACAAAGAAGACAACAGGAAGTAGTTCTAGGATGATGGTGCAGCAAGATTTTAACAAAACTATTCATGTGTGATTTAAATTGAATTTCTTATTTAATAGAAAGTTGTTTTTTTCTGAAGAATATCAACAAACATTTACGCACATTTGTAATGGAAAAGAGTTAAGTCATTAGAAAGATTCATCATCCTGTTTTCTTCGTCGTTTCCGCCAGTAGTAACATCAGGTTGTTGATCATGTGACTCGCAATGTGAAAACAAAGTGTTTCCTTACAGTTTTGCAAAATGAACCAATTTAAATGAATCTTACAGAAAACTTTTTGTTTTTTCTTAATTGGAGTGTTTCCATTAAGCAAATTTATTTTCAAATATTAAATTACACAATCATACGGTGAATGGAAATGCCAGAATAAGACGGCAGAGTCTCCTCTGATTGGCTGATAGATGATGATCACCACAGCTCAATTATGAACATATCTCCTCCAGGTGTTTACAGCCAAGCTTTTCAATGACTTATCGTATGAATAACTTATTCATGTGTGCTTTAATTTCTTCTTTAATAGCAACACAGCAGTTGCGAAATTGTGTTTTTCGACATTATTGGATTATCAAAAAAGTTTTGCGCACATTTGTTAAGGAAATGGAAACGCATGTTTAGCTTCTTATTTGATAAATGAGAAAATATGTGAACAGTTTTCTGTTTACTTGAAGTTGCATTAAAGTCCAAATCATAACGACCAAATGAGCAGCGATCAGCCTGGCGGTCCTCCTCAGTTCATGGAGGAACTATGTGTGTATGGACAGGTGAATACACAGCATATTGGGGACGTTGGTACAAAAAAAGTAAAGAGTAAATTTTGGCTTAGAAAAAAAGCTTAGATTAATCTCAGAAATAACTTCAAAATTTCTGAGATTTTTCTAGCAAATTGAATATTTCAAACCCAGAAATTCCTGGGGGTTTTCCTCTTAAAAATTCTGAGGTTAATTAAAATGTTTTTAGGATTTTTAAACAGATTACCTTGTTTTTTTTTAATTGAAAATTTCTGATATTCTTTTTGCAGAAATTAACTCGTCCTTTTTCTGTCTAATGGTTCTAATACGCTGCTGTATGTTTATGGTTAAATCCTGAACTACGACAAAAAGCTCACTTTGTAAATATGATTAAAAAGACGCTTTTAAAAACGTTTTTAATCTACAGGAAGTTCTGTCCTGTTGGAATCAAGATGGCGGACGCTGTGAAAAACCCGGAGACAGATTTCATGCCACCGATTAAAATCCCGTTAGAGACAATCGATATTTAAAACCGTCTCTGTGTTGGTAAATCAGTTCAGAGCTCCAGTAAACCAGTAAATATTAGAAGAGTTAAACTTTAAGGAGTAGATAAAAATCGTCTGTTGGTCATTTTTTATCGTATCGGTCCGATGAGTGAAACTGGGCTGATATTTATCAGGTCATGTGACGCTGATGCAGCAGAGGATTATCTATTGGCAAATATCAGCAATATTTATATCAGATATCGGCCCAAGTTTTCCAGTCGGTGCGTCTGTAGTGGTTTGTTTCAAACAGAGCGGCGGCCATCTTTGTTTCTCCCGGCCTTTTTAACTCGGATCATCCAGTGCCTTGAGTTAAAGCAGGAAGCCGACCCAACATGTCTGACAGGGTTTGTTGCTTCTCTACATTATTCTGATGAGCTGTGGACAGCACACCTTTGTTTTGGTTTATTTTGAATGTTTGGATTTTATTTTTGTGTGTGGTTGAGGTTTTTATGAGTTTTGATTATTTTGTATTTGAAACAATGACCATCAGGTTTTCTGATTAGTTTACATGAATGTTCTTCCTTCTGGATTAAGCCGGTGCATCTCAATAAACCAATAATCTACTGAAGCCGTTACATTCAGAAAGTCAGACTCGTGGATTTGTTGCACAGAGTTCAAGTGATAATTCATTTAAATTGGAATATTACCATAATTTCCAGACTACAATACTTTCTTTCACACGCCGATGCGGCTAATATGTTTAAAAAAGTTAATTTCTGCTCTTTTATGGCAAACATTATGATTTAACTGATTAAATCATAATGTTTTAGCATTTAAACATTTTCAGTCACATTTAATGCACAGAGAATCGCCAGTCACTAAATAATCAAAAGTAAATTAACTTTTTGTTTAGGATATATGTGCGAATTTACTACAGGAAGTTTACATACAAAAGACTATTTTTAGTTATTTTATTAGTAATAAAGAACAAAAACACAAAAAGTGAAAAAATATTATTAAAAACTCAAAGGAAAACCTCAAGTTAAGCACAATGCTAATATTAAAGAGGGGACCATTTATTAGATTTTTTATTCTTATTTCCTTTTCAAACTTAGGTGTGTTCAATAGTCCGGAAATTACGGAACACCAAACCAGGTAAAAATATAACAGAAATGTTCTGTTAGTCCGTCTATGTCCAGCAGGCTGTCCAAAATCCTGGAAAGTTGAGTGGAAGAAAAACATTTTCGGCAGAAATCTAAACCACTTCTTATTAAAAATATTCTGATTTGAGCGAGAATCAACAGTTTTTTTTGTAACAAATCTAAACAAGTTTGTATTTTTTGAATGAAATTGTTATGAAACGTTTACTGAGATGCTCCTGTTGCTGTGATGCCCTTCATGGTCGGCATCATTCCTGTTGCTGTACTTCACCTTTTCATGCAGCTTCTGATGCAAAAAGCGCCACCTAGTGTTGCACTTTGAATATTCTGGTGAAAATCCAGGAACACGAGGCTGAAATGGCTGAAACGTTTGGACTTTGTTTCATCAGAGCAGTGAAATATTTTCTAAAACAATGTGACACATGAAATGTACCGATGAATCTGTACAGGCTGTTTTAACTTCATCAGAACAACTCTTCATCTTCCAACAGGAAGCTACTTCTATTTTTATTATTATTATTTACTGTTGACTGTCACTGTTGTCTACAAAAATAAAACATTTCTTCGGATTGAGATGCTTTTTTAAACCGTTTCCTCCTAAAGAAGGCTCAATGATCCGATCATGTACAGGAGAGATTAATGTGCAAAGCGGCAGGAGTTTGGCCTCAATAGGAGGAAAATATTTAACATTTTATCATAAAACAGAACGTCGGAGGAGAAATATTAACCTTAAAGGGTTAAAAGATTTTACAAAGTTCGTCCGCCATCTTTGTTCCTCCATCTAAGCTGGAGGAGACGCGGTTCGTCTACAGGAAGGTGCTGAGCGTGTTTTCCACGGTGGCCAGCTGCAGATACTCAAGATGGCCGCCTTCAGACTCCACCTCCGACTCTTCGTCCTCCTCCTCTTCCTCGCCGGTACACACCTTCCTCCGCCGCACCGACCCTCGTCTTCGGCGCTCCAGACACGTCAGGATCATGTTGGCGAGATCCTGTTGCAGACGCTGGACGTTCTCTCTGCCAAGGCACGCAGCCATCAGTTTGACCTTTGACCCTGAATACCCACTCTTCTAAAACATTTTTTTATTTCCATCTGTTCTGCCATGAGTGATCAAAAATTATTGATATTAGAAGATTGATTTCAAGCCAAAATGATTGTGAATTGGTTTTTCAATCTTTCTTTACCATCGTTCATTAGCGATTAGCGTCCTCTAATCAGTTTGATCGGCAATACCGATTTTTCTGTGTAAAACAGGAAGAGGCTAACAGCTAGCATGCGTGTCGTTTTGCTCACGTTGTTGGCGGAGTGGGAAGATCGTAATCTTCCCCGGTTTCTCCTGTCAGCCAGTAAGTCGTTTCCATTCCTTTACCCTGAAAAAAACAACAGAAAAACTTTAGGAAAATCGCCAGGAACACAAAACCTCTTCCAGTTTTTCTGCATGTTTGCCGGCAGCCATGTTGACCTTCAGGTACGTTTCTCCTCGGATCTCGTACTGGAACTTGCAGTCGGTGCGCTGCAGGATGTGGATGGTGGGTTCGCTGACATGGATCCGCAGCGCTGCGGGGCAACAGCACACACATCGGGTGAATGAAGCTAACTGGCTACCCAACAGGAAGTGTCAGTCTGAACTTCCTGTGAGAGTGTTCACTGCTCACGTTGTCCTGAAGACTCCATCCGCGACGCCGTGTTGACCGTGTCGCCAAACAGACAGTACCTGGGCATCTTAATCCCCACGACGCCGGCGGCACACGGACCTGCACACACACACACACACACAGATCTGGGTTCAACTACAGCAGGATGATGGAGCAAAGTTGTTTAAATAAAAAACTAAAAAAAAATTTTTTCACTTTAAAAATTATGTTACCATTTTTAAAAAATTCAGTTTAAGTTTTTTTTTGTGTAAATATTTTTTGAGTTTTCCAATTTTAAATTGTTTTTAGTTTAAAATTTTTAAGATTTTTTTGTTTAATAATTCTTTTTCAATTTAAAATCTATTTTTTAAGTTTACATTTTTTTTCAGCGTAAAACTTATTTTTTGCTTCATACGTTTTTCTTTTTACTTTAAAAAATGTAAAAATTTTAATTTAGTTTCAGAATAATTTTTCAGTTTCAAATACAGTTTTTGAACAAACTTTAAGGCACCAGTGTAGCTCCATATAGTCTCCACCTCCGACCTTCCAGAGCTCTTGGAAGCGTTCCTACTCCAACATGGCTGAATGAAATGGACCAATCGGGTGGACCAGCCGTTTCCCTCAGGTGAGTTTGGTGTAAAAGCGTCCGGCCAGCGGCCATCGAGGATCGCGGCGACGTCTACCTGAGTGAACGCCGATGCGTATCCACACCGGGATGCCGGGCAGATGGCGCAGCTGGAAGGTGCCCATGAAGGACAGGATGTCCAGTGCCATGCGGCAGATGTCCACCGCGTGTCGGTTCCCGTTCCTCCGCGGCAGGCCGGAGGCGACCATGTAGGCGTCGCCGATCGTCTCCACCTGAACGAAAAATAAAGGGGAACTGAAACATTTATCAGATAAAGGGTCTATGTTGGTCCTTAATGGTTCTATCTTTATGTTTCTGTGCAAATTTAATGTAGCTCTGTTCAGTTCTGCAATCTGAACCTGTCTCAGTGCTGCCCCCTTTGGGTTGAACAGTGGTACTGCAGGGGGATTTTCCTATTGGTTGTTTAGCGGTTTTGGTCCCCGGTACCTTGTAGACGTCGTGGTGGTCCAGGATGCTGTCGAAGCCCTTGTAGATGTCGTTGAGCATGTCCACCACCTCCATGGGCGTGCTGTACTGGCACAGCGTGGTGAACCCCACGATGTCGCTGAAGTAGATGGTGACCTCATCGTACAGCTCTGGCTCCACCACGCCGCTCTCCTTCAGGCTCTTCACCACCGGCCTTCAGGGGAGAAACAGCCAAACTAGCAGTTAGCAGCAGGTTAGCTACGCCACTTCTGCTTCTAAACGCTGATGGGATGCAGTATGGCAAACTGTTTTAACATTAAATCAGCTTTGTCTGACTATCTGCAACTTAACATAACGTAATTTATTTATTGACTTTTTTTATTACTCAATTGTATGTTTTTCTTCAGTTTCAAATCTTTAAAAATTTATTTTTCAGCTGAAAAATGTTCAGTTAAATTTTTTCAGTTTAAAATGATTTTTCAGCTTTTATTTTCTGTTTAAATTTTTTTGTTTATATATATAGAAATTTAAAAAAAAAATCAGTTTCAAATCTTTTTTTCTGTTTCAAAAGTACTTTCTGATGTCAGTTTCTTTTTGGGGTTTTTTCCATTGAGAATTATTTTTCAGTTGAAAAAAACAAGAGGTCAAACTTTATGGCCCCACTGTAGCTCCGTACAGGAGCGACTGACCCAGGAAGCAGCATGAAGTTGAGGAAGTCGGCCCGGTCCCGCTCGGCTTTGTACAGCGACGTTCTCTCCTCCACCAGGTGCTCCAGGTTCCTGGAGTAGTTCTGCAGCCGCCGGATCATGTTGTCCATGTAGCTCTCGTTGTCCTGGTTGTGGATTTTACTGACGGAGGAAACGAGTTTTAATGAAGCCGAACAGGAAGAGGAAGTGCACTGGTAACCATGGTTACCTGATGTTCTTCCCCAGGCAGTTCTCCACTTTCTTAAAGTCGGGTCTTTTCTCCGGATCTTCATCCCAGCAGCTTCTTATCATCATGTAAACCTGAAGGACGCAGAAGACATGAAAAATCAATCCCAGAGCAAAAGAAAAATTAAAATAATTAGTGTCAAAAATTAACAGATAAAAAAATGGGAATTCATCTTTCAGTCATATTTTTACCATGTTACTTATTCATTTATAAATGTCAGTTTAAAACTAAATAATTAGCAAGCTAGATATTTATCACCAAACGAAACATTTAGCTATTTAGCTAACGTACATTTTCACTTGCCAATAAGCGGAAATGGATTATCAAAATAAAAGCTGGAAAATAAAATAAAAAAATAAAAGCTGAGAGTTGCTGGTAAACGTCTGAATTGCCTTTAAAATGCTGGAGAAGAAAAGAGGAAAATAAATGATGATGAAGAGACGACATGAAACGATGCCAAAGCAGCAAATAAATTAGCATATTAGCTAAATATTCAGCTTCAAACCATTCAGCTTGTGAATTTAGTGTGAAGATATTTGGTCAGTCACTAAATATTTACTTTGACGTTAATCTTTAGCTTGCTAACTAAATATTTACTTTAAATATATAGACTAAATTAAATATTTAGTCTAGTGCTAAATATTTAATTGTTTAACTTAATATTTGACTTTCTAACTAATTATTTACTTTGACGCTATAGATTTAGCTCGCTAACTTAATAATTTGAAACTTTGATATTTGTGGAATAACACGATAAAATATGACTTTAAAAGTTAAACCCCCATTTAAAGTTTTTTTCTTATTTGGGCTAAATAACCAGATTTTAATTTCTAACTGTATCTTTACGAACGGCGCTGACCTCTAGTTCTTTCTCTGAAGCCATCTCAACGTCGAGGTCGGGTCTGAAGTAGGACGTCATCACCCTGTGCAGCTTCTCTGTAAGAAACGCCTCGGTTCAGCTCAAACAGCGGCAACATTAGCTCAGATTCTCGAGGAAAGGCGAGGAAAGCTTCCACACCTGAGCGGTCGAAGCAGGACTTGGAGTAGAAGGTGCTGCGCCGCAGAACGATTTCCTGGGAGATGACGGCGAAGCTGTACACGTCTCCTTTCTGTGACGTTCCCTGGTTCCTCAGGTGCTCCGGAGCCGTCCACAGGTCTGGCCAAACGACAGCGGCACAAACAAACATTATTGCTGCACAAACATGTGACACCAATTTAATTACATTTGAAGGTGAAGAGGCCAAGGTGGGGTGCTGTGGTTACATCCGTGGCCTGTGGGGGCGCTGTGGTTCATTTGTAGTCTGTGGGGGCGCTGTGGTTACATTTGTGGCCTGTGGGGGGCGCTGTGCTTACATTTGTGGCCTGTTGGGGCGATGTGGTTACATTTGTGGCCTGTGGGGGCGCTGTGCTTACATTTGCGGCCTGTGGGGGCGCTGTGATTACATCTGTGGCCTGTGGGGGGCGCTGTGCTTACATCTGTGGCCTGTGGGGGGCGCTGGGCTTATATCTGTGGGCTGTGGGGGGGGCTG